AGATATTAGTTCCACTTTGTTGCCTGTTATAGAGCGAGGGCGCCACAAACACTAAACACTTTTAGGGCCATGGCACACAGAAAAACTTAAGCAGTAAGGCGTAAAAGATAAGCAAATTGACCAATCACAGTCGTTGATTCTTGGACCGTAAGAAGAATTATAGGGTGTTTCCGATAATGGGTACTTTCCAATTGCTTAACACATCTTGACACACACGTACACAAAACCATTGACCATTGTGACCAGTTTATTGGTCACATATTATCTAAAATATCTTGTAAGATAATATGCAACCAATAAACTGGTTTTGTAACACAGTTTTGTGTACGCAACTGGAAAGCACCCAATACTGGGGTGACTCTCCGAGTCATTTCCCTAGAGCAAAAATAAATTACAGACATTACCACCTACTACTATTATGTGATTCATGACAACCCAAAGCTACCTAATGGCTTCTGCACACAGGACGCGGTAATGCTTGCCGCGCGGCGGAAGTTTGCGCGACAGCCAATCAATATGTTGTTTTTCCGTAAGAGCTAGAAGATTATTTCAGAAACCAGCATATTGATTGGTTGTCACGCGAATTTCTGCCGCGCGGCAAGGATTACCGTGTTCCGTGTGCAGGAGCCATAATGCTGTCTCACGATTGCAAGGAGTGGGTTAGGCAGAACAATACCGTGACAAATACACGAGATAATAATTTTGTAAAATTGTGTTGATTATAAAATCATTTGATATTGTTTTCTAATAAAATTTTATTTATTCTTAATTAAAGTTATAACCATTTAAAAACTTAATTAAAGTTATAATTAAAATTACCATTAATATATATATTATATTTTTCAAATATTATCCTAAAGTAAAAAGTCACACTATTTTAACCTATTTGCAAGTATTGTTTTTACATGACTCCTGCAAGTGCAAGTCCACAATAAATTATTCCATTAGGGTATATTGATGACAAACAAGATAGATTTAAAATCTGTTTTAATAATGTTAATATAATTTATTGTAATCAAAACATAATGTAAGAACATTTATATAAACTTAAAACAATAAATTATTATAGTACAGCAAAATTTCAAATTCCTTTACCTGTCAATGAATATGCTACGACAATGTTTTCAAAAAAATGTGGGATCTTTATATGATGTTCCTGTGGAGGTTGGAAATTATCATCATCTTCATCAGATGGTTGATCAAAAAATATTTCCCACATTTCTAGCACATCCATTTTTTATCTAAAAATGTTTAGTTGTAATGACCCAGGTAGCAAAGTGACGTCTAAAGACGTCATTAAGACGTTATTAAGACGTCTATGATGTTTTAATGACGTCTTTAGACGTCACCTTGCTACCTGAGGAGTATTAAAGTATAAAAGAAATAATTCAAATAATGTTGAAAAATAGTAACATTAAGAAACGTTTGTAGAATTACATACAATTTAAAACAAACTGTGCAAACAAATCTATCTTGTTTTGTTATCAATAGTGTTACGTTCCAGCCGACCGCGGCTGCGCGGGTATGATGCAGTGTTCGGGCCGTGCTGCCGGAACCGGATCGCTTTTCTTTTAGGGTCATTCGAATCTGCGCGATTCTCCCCAGGGATCCACGCGATCCTAGATTCGCCGAACTGTCCGCGGAGCAAATTTAGAGCGGGTGCATGCACGCTATTACGAGCAAGTAAAGGGACGTCTACATTGGAAGTAAATAGCAAGAAGTAGGAAGTAAGAGTAAGAAATTGACCAACCACAGTCGAATGTGAGAAGAATAATTAACTATGATTAGTCAATTTCTTATTCTTACTTCCTACTTCTTACTGTTTACTTCCAATGTAGATGTCCCTTAAGAAGATAGCGCCGTTGGCGCCAAGTACGGATTCTGACTTACCGGCTTCCGCGCCTAAGTCTCGAAGGTGTCGCTCTTATGGTCTGCATGCGGTCCTATACTGCAGCTCCCGTAGTGGTGTAGTCAGGAACTTCTCCGACACAATGTCGAGGGCGGCAATTCTCGATGGTGATTTTTACTTGAGGGTCACTTACCGCACTCCCGGCATAAACCACGCGTTTAAGATTAGGATGTTGAGTTACGGCCCGGAGTTAGGAACGTAGAGTTTCACTCGGGTTTTCGAGGTAGTGGTTCTGACGCAATTAGGAAAGGAGCGACCTTGCTCGGGAGTTATGAAATCAAGAGTTGATTTTATATAATAACTATATATTTTAATAGTAGGGATATACAAAGTCCTAATTCTAGAAGAAATATTCTATAATAATCTAGGATGAGAGTTTATAATGATTAGGATAAGATTATGCAGTCTAGTTAGTAGATCTTACGAAGTTCTTAAGAATTGAATTAGAATTAGATTTAGGATTATGATTGAGAGTTCTCCAGCCAATGCTGGAGACTTGAGGGATAGAAAGGTGTTCCGACGCCTTCGCGACTCACCTCTACTACTGACTGCCTCACGACTCTCTACTCTCCTACCTTTCCCACCGGATTTCCTCTAGTGGGGTGGGGATTCTAACTTGGCGAAAGCGCCATCTACTTACACCCCTCGAGAGGATAGACGGTTTAGGTTCTACCTGATGGCTCTTCTGCCTAGGGCGTACTCGGTAGGAAAAAAGAAATGTGCACCGGTATTGTCGGACATAACAATAGGGAGCGTCCCTACTTCTTACTGCTTACTTCCAATGTAGACATCCCTTTAAGCCCATTCTACAATTGGGTAAACGTAGTCGTGAACGTAAGAGTCAACCAATCCGAATGTTTTATTCACTGATTGCTTTACTCTGATTGGTTGTCGTAATCACTTACAACCACTTACATTCGAGAGCGGTGCACTTGGACACGGTGCATTTGGACACAGCCAATCACAGCACCGTGTGATTAGAGACATTTGTAGGGTCCCTTGGAACAGCGACTTGTGATTGGACTGTGTCCAATTGCCCCGTGTCCAACTGATATACACCCCTTACATTTACGTTCACGCAATTGTAGAATGGGCTTTAGTCAATTTGCTTACTGCTTACGTTTTACTACTTAAGACAGATATTCACGTGTCATACGACAAGCTTCTTGGATACGTTCATTGGTTGACGAACAGAGAACCTAGAAATACTCTATTCGCCAACCAATAAACGTATCCGAAAAGCTTGTCATACGACACGTGAAATAACACCCTAAGTTTTTTGTGTGCCACCAAGAGTTTGGAACCCCTGGTATAGACATCTGTGTTTATATATAAAAGTCTGTGGTTTGAACACATCGTACGAACACCTTCGAATCTGATTTCTTTGGAACTTGTACTTCGGTACCTTGGTTGGAAGGACTAGTGAGTAAAGCCTGAAAGCCAAGTAAAATATATATATATATATATAGAGAGAGAGAGAGAGAGAGAGAGATATATAAATAATCTTTACAAAGTACAGTTGTTGCACACAACGAATACTATGATATAAAAATTCCACATTGTTTCTATCGTTATCATATATAATATATATTTCGCACACATTACTCATTTGCCATCGTCAAAACACGAATATTCCTTAAAGTAAACTTCATTCAGCCTTTTAGAATTCAGTATGTTAATGTTGCAATTGATCTCCCATCGGTGAGTTTACACTTATAAGTGCCAATTGTAATCTAAGTTTCTGTGAGTATTGTTCTAGTTAATTTAAAATTGATAGATTGTTCTTTGGACGATAATGAAGCTCATATTGCTAATTTATTGGCTCAAGAAAGCCATTAGTAAAAAAAAAACTTTGTTATTATCAATTTTATATTTAATTTGCTAAATACTGTTTATTGAGAGATTATGTATAAACATCATTAGTACAACTCAAAGTATATATAAGACTTATACTTGTTTCAATTTTTTAACTTTCATACTATAAAGTTTAATTTCTTAGCTTTTATGAGTTGCTAATCAAATTGATAACAAGAATGTTTGGTATTATTTGTTAATATACCAAATTTGCACATCAACAACAACAGCAGAACTACTATTTGCATTTCTTTTCACATTGAATTTGTTTTCACAAAAGCTACATTTATCTATTCGTAATATAATGTAAGATAAAAGTAAGATAAAAGTATATATGTTGATATATATCTAATTCTGGATATTATTATTTTAACTTTTAAATATGATTAGACTTTCAAAACATAAAATATATATAGGTATGTATCCAGGCATTAATACTTTATTTTAAGGAAAGGTTCTATCTTAAAGCCAAAAATAGAATTTTTACAAATTAAAAAAAAATGAATAAAGATATTAATATAGGGTTTTGACCATATTATTTAACATTGTTTTAAATATAAAAAAAATTAATTTTTAAAGTTTTTACAAATTAAAAAAAATTAATGAAGACATTAATATAAAATTTTGACTATATTATGTAACATTGTTTTAAGTATAAAAATATTTCTTTTATTTAAAAAATTAAAATTTTATCTATGTTTTTTTAGCATGTTACTAGATGTTTCTAACTAGTAGACAACATTACAGCTAATGTAATAATCTGAAATAAATGGGAGGAAATTTAAAAACTATATTAAAAATTTGCTGGAGGATGAACTTTTGTTATATAAAGAAAGTCGAAATTTAACAAAATAATAGCATTTTAAAGTTATAACTCATTTTTCTTTTCTCTTTCTCTAGTATTTAGTATTCCAGGAAAAATACTAATTTTGGAAATTTCCGTGAAATTTTTCGTGAAATGGATTTAGATTTGTTTTCCAGAAAATTTAATAAAATCTTTGAATTTCCCATTTGTTTCACATTATTACACGAGTTGTAATGTTATCCAGTTAGAGACGACATTGTGTTCAATACAAAGAATCTGAACAGAATTTTAATAAAAAAAAATATCCAGATAGCACAGAGAATTCAAAAAGAATTCAAAAAGAATTCAGTCGTATGTCACCAATTCTGAGTTTATTTTCGGATGCAAAAAAAATTCTTCAAAGTTCAGTTCAATAAAAAGAATTCTTTTTGCATCTAAAAATAAACTCAGAATTGTTGACATACGACTGAATTCTTTTTGAATTCTCTGTGCTATCTGGGTAATTTGTTTATATTTAGAATAATGATAAATAACATCGTCGAAACCCTATCGATATCTTTATTCGTTACTTTGAAAAAAAATTCATAAAAATCTATTGTTTGGCTAAATTTAGACCAAACTTTTCCAGATAAACAAAGATACTGAACATAGTATGCAAATATTTATTATTATACTTCGTAATGATATTGTAAACAGCAACAATTTGTTTAAAATGTATCGCTTTAAGAAATACCATTTATGGAAGAAATATGGAATATTATGGAATATTATGGAAGAAATACCACATATTTTGAGTCAAAAGACTTCTAGTCATTATAATAATTTCAGATTAATTGCATTCTTTTACCGGCAGATAAATAACAATTTTCATGACAGCAAAATATTGCCACAATATTGGCACAATTTTCATGACATTAGATGCCTTCTCTTATATATTAACAAAATTATTGTTGTATGAAGATACATCTTTACGTACTTGTGTTACAATTTTCAATTCTCAATTCCGTCATTGGTTGCGTTCAGCAAAAAAAATAGCTTAGTAAGTGCTTTTTGCTATTTTGGTAACAGCTTTGCAACGGTTGTAAGATTTTCTGCTGAATGACACTAGCGTTTTACATTTTTTCAACATTTACGTTTAATTAGCGGTCACTATTTTTTTCCAGCATACTTTCAATATGCTAAAGCGCTTAGTAAATATGTTGGAAAAACGTAAATCGCTAAATGTCGTTCAGAAAATCTTATGACAATTACAAAGCTGCTGACAACGTAGCGCAAAACGCTTTTTTCTGAGCGTAACTATTATTCACATAATATATTAAAATATGTCTATCTGGATTCCTTTAAGGAGACTGGAGGATCAGATTGTCTGAAAATCGTGCTTGTTTTTTCACAATTTTTTATAACAAACTGAATGAATATGCAAAAGTGTTATTTTGACGTGTATTTATATAACATATAAAGAAAAGAAAAATATAATTTTGATGATCAAATACTCAATATAAATGTATGATACATGCAGTTAAAATATATTTCGTTTTTCTTTTTAGGGTCGTCATTTTGCAATAAGATCTTAACTCTCGGTGGTTCAATTAAGCTGAATTTAGGTAGAAAATTTCTGTAAACTTGTCATTATCGGATAAACTACCGACAAACTCGTGAAAATATTTAATTTTGAAATATTAATTTTTTTTACTATAAAAAACTGAAAATTTTAATAATATTTCATTAAGATATTTGTAATTTTGTTAATTTTTACTCCATTTCTATTATAAAGTGAACGGGATTCACCCGATAATGACAAGCTTACGGAAATTTTCTACCTAAATTCAGTTTAATTGAACCACCGAGAGTCAAGATATTATTGCAAAATGACGACCTTGAAAAGAAAAACGAAATATATTTTAATTGCATGTATCATACATTTATATTGAGTATTTGATCAAAATTATATTTTTTTCTCTTTATATGTGTATAAATACACGTCAAGATAACACTTTGGCATATTCATTCAGTTTGTCATAAAAAAATTGTGAAAAAACAAGCACGATTTTCAGAAAATCTGACCCTCCAGTTCCCTTAAGACTCCTAAGTACTCACCGCGGTGATGTTAGATTGTGACATCAGAGAATGACACACTGAAAATTCTTGCGTTCCCAAATAAAAAGGTATTTATATGAAAGAACACTTCAGATCGCTTGCATATACTTGTAAAATGTTTCGAAAATTATTCTTTTTCTTTGATAATCAATAAATAGCCGTAAAATGAAAGTGGTGACAAAATTAGGAGGAAAAATAGCTTAAAGGAGAGATTAAAAAGGTTATTTGTACATTTTAATTTTGCAGCTATTTATAACTGTCAAGGGAAAGAGATAGTTTTCGGAGCTTTCATTTTACAAGTATGCTTAAGCGATCGCAAAAGTGTTCTTTTATACAAATATCTTTTTATTTGGAAATGCAACGCAAGAATTTTGTACATCATGCATTCTCTCGCTCTCTTCTAACGTTATCAAACAAAAGTTCCGTGGTGAGTATCCAGATGCCTTAAGTATATAGTTATAAACGTTATGATAAACTTTCAACGTAACTTTCTAGAACTTTCTGTTACTCACACGTGCTCAATACAAGCCGGTACATTCTTTCTTAGGCAAAATGAAATTTAGGGAAATATTCAAGCAGTGCTGTAAATTACGGCATTCTTGGTTGCACACATTGGTACGTAATTTTACATGTTGCTTCAATAAGCGAAAGATCATTGATAGAATGTCATTATTAATAGAATGTTTATACCCAGTAAAGTTTATACCTAAGTTTATAAGTTTATATCCACATAAAGTTTTCTAATATGTAGTTTTAACAGTAGTTTTAATAATTACGAATAATTAATTTACATTATTACGAATAACATGGACACATTTCAGCATTTTAAAAATATTATTACAACATTCGAATTAAATTCTTTTTTTAAATGTATGAAAACGTTTAGGAGAGATACATATCAAATCAATATTTCAAGACATTATCCAATCTTCTTTGTATTTTCATTATTTGTCGCTTTTTTCCTTCATATTGCTAATGATTCCTTTCGATAATTATGATATCATTGTTGTTCGTGATAGCCCGCAGAAGCGATAGGAAAACATGTTGCCAGCACGAAGCTGCATATACCCGAGCCTGAATATAACACAGAATTCTTGTGCGATCCTGCGAATCGCAATATTATTCTGAATAATATAAAAAAAAGAAAGAGTATCGGAGATATCGACAAGGTTCTCGAATTGTCGGGCAAACCTGAAAAGATAAAGTTACTCTCGGAAGAATTGAGCAGAATACCAAATTGCACGCATTCCGCGATACTTGAGTACGGCGACAGGCCAGAACTTCTGAAGGAATGCGGCAAGAAGCCAGAATTTGACTTCGAACCTCAAGAATTCTCGCAACTTGTCAATAATTTGAAACTACTAAGAACAGGATTGGGACCTATCGCCGGACAAAAAGCATACATGCTTTTGGGAGATCTGGCGCAACTTGAAGAGGCGTTAGTCCATTACACAGTAAGAAAATTACTGCGGAATGGATTCGAACTACTGTCAGTTCCAGACATCATTCCTACTGAACTGATCAAGAGATGCGGCTTTATAACGGAAGGCACTCGCACTCTTGTGTATAATATGGATCCTTATTATGGAGACAACTATAGTCTGTCTGGAACCGCAGAAATGGCGTTAGCCGGTAGAATGATGAACACTATGCTCTCCTACGACGAATTACCGGTGAAACTGGCTGCTGTTAGCCGATGTTACCGCGCAGAGACCTCGACTAGCTTGGATCAAAGAGGAATTTATAGGTAGGCTGCATTAGGAGCACAGAGAAACCGTGTTTTTTAAACCCGACAAAGTCACCTTTATTCATGTAATTTTCACGTTTATAAACAGGGTCCATCAGTTCACTAAGGTGGAGATGTTTGTTTGCTGTGAACCGCGTCAATCTGAGGAAGTGTTCCATGATCTTCAGAATATGCAGGAAGAGCTGTTCTCGTCGTTGGGACTGCATTTCCGAATAATGGACATGCCTCCGACTGATTTGGGTGCACCTGCTTATAGGTACAGTAATCGACGAGTTTATTTCCATGAAATTCGCCTGGAAAATAGATAAAAACGCAAAATTACTATTATGCGTCTACAAAGCTGTGGAAATTTTGTAAGACGCATTTTCTTTTGTCTCATTTAACACAAACTTGTCTCTCGCAAGTAGTTCCTATTTCCTTACAGAAAGATGAGTGTTTCAGGAAGTCAGATATGGAGGCCTGGATGCCTGGAAGAAAGATGTACGGCGAATTGTCCAGTTGCAGTAATTGCACGGACTATCAGTCAAGACGACTCAACATCAAGTTTAAGACCAAAGACGGCGACACGGCTCATGTTCACACGCTGAACGGGACCGCTTGCGCGATACCTCGCATGTTGATCGCATTATGCGAGTATTATCAGACGAGGCACGCGCGTATCATCGTGCCGAAGAGCCTGGTGCCTCTGATGAATGGTAAAACGCTCATCAAGAAGCAACCGATCGCGACTATGAGAACTTTCAAGTATAAACAAGATTTAAGTGAGAATGATATATAAGTGCAATAATAATAAAATGTAATTACGATGATCGTATTATTGTCGTTGCGTTACTTAAAAGAAATATTCTTATCATAGATTGAACAAATTTTCTCAGTCACAGCAAGTCTTGTGTGAGTTGACTTGGTCTCTTGATAAATGATTAAAGTTAGTATTTTGCAGTTATTCTATGCATTTCTTCAGTTGGTCCAAGGAGATTTTTTACCGGAAAAAATAATCCTGTTATTTTAATATTATATATATATGTGTGTGTGTGTGTGTGTGTGGTGTGTGTGTGTGTGCATACAGGGTGTCCCGCATAAAGTATGCCAAAAGAAAAATATAAGTAAAACAGATAAAATTGAACAAAAATTGTAGAGGTCATTTTTCAACAACCACGTAAAATTTCGAGATATTAAAAATAATTGGACAAATTAGAGCGCGTGACGCGACAGGCGGGATATACGGCTCGCCGCGGCCGGCGAAGAAAATGGACGAATGCACACACGGAGCTATCCATTTCCATATGCCAATCGGCCCACCTCTATGGCCTATAAGATAGGCCCGTGAGCAATCGTCCAATTTTTTCGCCGGCCGCGGCGAGCCGTATGTTCCGCCTGCCGCGTCGCTGCGCTCTGATATGTCCAACTATTTTAATTAATATCTCGAAATTTTACGTGGTTGTTTGAAAATGACCTCTACAATTTTTATTTACTTTTATCTGTTCTACTTATATTTTTCTTTTGGCACGTCTTACGCAGGACACCCTATATATACAGGGTGTTCCACATTCTCCTTATCACATTAAGTGGTAATGTAAAACGGGTTGAAGTGAACATAAAAGTCCTATACCGTTTTGCGATATTTACAATAATAACCGAGAAATCAATTGTAAAAGATTAAAGAGAAATGCACGCTGAATGGTTGAGGGAGAAGCTTTTGCTACCCAGTAATATAGCAGGCAGATGTTAGCGCGCATCTTATAATGTTCTGATCCTACGTCTTGCCGCGCCGAGACGAGATGTACAAATGCAACAATATAAGTATAGGCAATGGTATGTTGTTTTTTCAATCATCGCGCGCCAACATCCGTGCGCTATATTATTAGGCTACGAGCGCTCCACCCTTAATCATTCAGCATGTGTTTTTCCTTAATCCTTTACAATTAATTTCTCGGTTATTATTGCGAATATCGCAAAACAGTATAGGACTTTTATGTTCACCTCAACATTCCCACTTAATTTGATAAAGAGAGTGTGGGACACCTTGTGTGCGTGTGCGTGTCGTGTGTGTGTGTGCGCAGGGTGTCTCACACTCTCCTCCGAGCATTTTGTGGGGACGTAAAACAGATTGAGGTGAACATAAAAGTCCTATACCGTCTTGCGATATTCGCAATAATTATCGAGATATTAATTGTAGAAAACTTGTAAATGATCATGCAGAATATGGTAAATGAGTTATAGTAGCGACGACTGCCGTCGTGTACTTATACTTTAGGACAAATTGAACAAAAAAGTCCTCTACAATTTTCCAATTAATTACATAGACTTTTAATTATTAATTAAAGAAGATTATTGCACGATTTTGCGTGATAATGCACTCATCTTTTTTAATTAATAATTAAAAATCTATGTGATTATTTGCAAAATGGTAGAGAACTTTTTTGTTTAATTTGATCTAAAGTATAAGTACACGACGGCAGTCGTCGCTATTATAACTTATTTACCATATCCTGCATGACCATTCACAAATTTTCTACAATTAATATCTCGATAATTATTACGAATATCACAAAACGGTATAGGACTTTTATGTTCACCTCAACCTGTTCTACGTCCCCACAAAATGCCTGGAAGAGAGTGACACCCTATATATACAGGGTGTCCCATTTTAATCGATCACCTCAAATATCTCTTGAACAGTGCATTTTAGGGAAAAATGTTTTAAATAAAAGTTTTGGGATTTCGAAGGGGACATAAGATGATATCATTGGTTTGACCTCGAGTGGCCTCGTCAAGGTCAGGACAAGATCACTTTGAATTTTTTAAATGAAACCCTCATTTTTCATTACATATTCTTATAGCATATTTCGAGAGCTTTCCAAAACACTATAATAAAATATTTTTTCGTTAAGTATGTTTCGAGTTAAAAGGCTTCAAAGTTACAATATTGTTGCCATTAGCATTGATACCCAAAGTATTCGACCGACGGCTAAAACCTCTTGAATGTTGTTCATGGCCATGACCTTGACAACATTTGTCAGAGTCAAGGCGATTAGAGGCAGTTCCTAATATTTTTATTTCTTCAAATTTTATAGTGAAAATGAAAATAATTTAAAATCATGGGGTAACATGTGGAGTCCGATTGACTCTAAAGGATCATATAAAGGTCACAATGCTTCGTCGGAGTCACAAAGAAGCACACGTATGAAATCCTATTAATAAATTTCTTTAATAATCATAGCATTGACCTTCATATGATTCTTTAGAGTCAATCGGACTTCACATGTTATCCCATGATTTTAAATTATTTTCGTTTTCACTGTAAAATTTGAAGAAATGAAAATATTAGGAACAGCCTCCAATCGCCTTGATCTTGACAAATGTTATCAAGGTCATAGCCCTGAACAACATTCAAAAGGTTTTAGCCGTCGGTCGAACACTTTGGGTACCAATGCTAATAGCAACAATATTGTAATTTTGAAGCCTTTTAACTTAAAAAATGCTTAATGAAAAAATATTTTATTATAGTGTTTTGGAAAGCTCTCGAGGTATGCTATAATATGTAATGAAAAATGGGGGATTCCATTTAAAAAATTCAAAGTGACCTTGATGACGCTACTCGAGGACAAACCAATATCATCTTATGTCCCCCTCGAAATTCCAAAACTTTTATCTGAAACATTTTTCCCTAAAATGCACTGTTCAAGAGATATTTGAGGTGATTGATTAAAATAGGAACCCTATATATATACAGGGTGTCCGGTAACTGATCGAGCAACCGCCGTGTACGGGTACAACGGGTCAAAATAATCATAAAAGTTATATACCATTTTGAAATTTTCTCAATATTTATTCCGTAATTAATTAAAATGTATAAATGAATGAGCTCACGAGAAGCGGTAGGCTTTGTGTGTAAAATGACATCTCTTAGCAACGATGAGTAAACAGCTGATTTCGAAGCAGAGTAACAAGCGACACGCATGTTACTCGAAATCAGCTGTTTACTCATCGTTGCTAAGAGGTAAGCCATTTCTTTTACACACAGAGCCTGTCCTACCGCTTCTCGTGAACTCATTCGTTCATACATTTTAATTAATTACGAAATAAATATTGAAAAAATTTCAAAATAGTATATAACTTTTATGATTATTTTGACCTGTTCTACCCGTACACGGCGGTTGCTGGATCAGTTACCGGACACCCTGTATATACACATACAACACACGTCTAGATTTTCTTTCGAAAAATTTGTCCATTCTACTTATGAGGAAGTTAGGTTTCACTAAAACATCGAACATCAAATACTCTACCTGACAGTATATTTTCTATAAACTAGTACAATATTATACAAAGAAAGAGGGATCCGAAAATTGTACGTACACGGGGATAAAGATTTCTTCCTTCTTTTTCTTATAATTTGTTATTCTCTGTATATATTTTTGTAGCGGAGTTATAAAAATGTAACACAAAATATTTTTTCTTAAAGTAATACAATTTAAAGACATTGCAAATTTACAGTTTTATCTTTCACACTGATGTTTGGGTGTTAGCGTTAGTTTATTGACAATTTAAAAATTTTCTATTTTCTTGTACCTGATTCATCGTACAGTACCTAACATTGACTTATATTTTATTTATCTGTATAACTTTTTTTTCTGACAAGTGTTCATGTGTCTTTTACGATTGATATTGAATTGTTGACCCATTTCGAAAATTCGGGACTATGTCAATTTTCTTGTTTCTGGCAATGATGCGTCCTTCTGTTGAAGGAAGTCGCATTAAGAGACATGTAATTATATGCAAATGAATTTTATTGATAAAACTTACTGAAGTGCTTTCAATCCTCCTCCTCTCCTGATTCCGATTCTTCCTCAGCATTTTGCAACCATTCTACGAATTTCTTCATTTGATCCAAGAAGAGCATTTTACCTTTAACTGAATGGCCCTCCTTGTACCACTTTAATATTACTTCCTCCGATACAACATCCGCTGCAAAGTCACATTTAGTTATATTGATATGGATTTTAAGCAATTTTTCGACGTATCAACATACTTTTATAAAATAGTAAAACAATCTTCTGGAAGACTTTCATAAAGTTCATGTTCTCGTAACAGAACTCCTGGACCTTGAGGATAAGTGCGAGTTCAGATCTGGCAGTGGTTGTGAAAGCACCGAATAGTGGAGTGTAAATCTTTAGATGTTTCAGTGCTTGTTCAGCGACTAATTCTTCCTTTTTATTCCATTCGGCTTGTCCCATTACAACAACCCAGATCTATATATGGGAAAAATTCGTAAAGGTTTCTTACGAGTCTTATATTCTTGCATTATAAAAGGAAAATTGTCTTTACCAATCCAATCATTTCATGTTCGGGAATGGCGCTCCTTTGCGCCATTTCCTTGAGATCGAATATGATGTCCTTCATCGGCCTATTATCCGCTAAATCGTCCAAAAGGAGTTGCTGTAGATCTCGCTTGGCTTCCTGGCTTGCCTGAGCCTTATGCAGTTTTACGATGTCAGCCAAGCCTACTGCCTCGAACACAGACCGAAAATGTTCTTCCGTTCGTTTATTCGGTGGTACAAACTCCATCAGTCTAAAGTAATTATACAAGTCACAAATGAATAAATATAGATAGAATTAGATATGAATACGCAAAGTAACAAAATAACATAATTTAAATCATTGTTGTAATATTGTATATTATACCAAATGATAATATACAAGTAACAACCATTTTATCACTTTAAATATTTTATGAATATGAAAGGAGAAATTTATTTCAGAAATTGTTTTTAAACCTAAGAAAAGATATCTAGAATTTAGAATCAAGATTTTAAAATATTATTCTAAACTTAAAAAATTAATAAGTATTTATTTACACTTAAAGTTTATTTTATATTTTTGTAAAATAATGAGAGAAACCGATTAATAATACTACTGTTTGCACAGAATTATGCATCAATG